AACTGACGCCTCCAAGTTTGCAACCGGAGCAGTACTATGCCAGCGCAATGACAACGGCGACTGGCATCCTTGCGGATACCTCTCTCAAAGCTTCAATTCAGCAGAGAGAAACTACGACATCTACGACAGAGAGTTATATGCGGTCATCCGCACACTAGATGAGTGGAGGCACTACCTCATTAGCAGCCCATACCTAGTGACGATTCTCAGCGACCACAAGAACCTCACATATTGGAAACAAGCCAAAGACATGAACCGACGACAAGCACGCTGGGCGAGTAAACTGACCGAGTTTGACTTCCGCCTGGTACACGTTCCTGGTACCCAAATGGTGCAGAGCGACGCTCTCTCCCGCCGACCCGACCATGACGACGGCTCTAATGACAACACCGACGTCGTTATGCTCCCACCGGAAGTATGGGTCGCTGCCATCGACATCAACACCCGCAACACCATCCTTTCCTTTAAGGACGACCCAATAATGAAGGAAGGCCTCACTGCGGCACGCACTGGAGGAACACCACGCACTGGAACAGACTGGTCCATCGATGATGACCTCCTCCTATACCAGGATCGGGTCTATGTACCCCCAGATGAGTCTCTTCGCAAATGTCTTGTCTCCCACTATCACGACCTCCCCTCCGCAGGACACCCCGGTGTTCAGAAAACCCTCCTCGGCTTGCGCCGTGACTACTGGTGGCCGAGCATGGCCCAGTTTGTTGCCCGCTATGTTAACGGCTGTGGCATCTGCCAGCAAATGAAGGTTAACATGCATCCAGCCCGTCCGCCCATCACCCCCATTCGACCCCGCGCAAATGCCAAGCCCTTCAGCACATTCTCGTGTGATTACATCACCGACTTGCCACCGTCCAATGGCTTCGATTCAATTCTGGTCGTAGTGGACCACGACCTTACGAAGGGGGTAATTTTCATCCCATGCAACAAAACAATTGATGCTCTTGGGACGGCAGACGCAATGTACCGAGAGGTCTACAAGTGGTTTGGACTCCCAGACAAAATCATCAGCGACCGAGGACCGCAATTTGCATCCAAAGTCTTCCAGGAACTTTGCAAAATGACTGGGATTCAATCGGCCATGAGTACGGCATTCCACCCGCAGACCGACGGCGAGACAGAACGAGTGAACCAAGAGCTGGAGATCTACCTCCGCTGCTTCACTGCCAATGATCCAGATAAGTGGGCTGACCATCTACACACCGCGCAATTTGCTCACAACTCCCGTGAGCATTCCACAACGAAGACATCCCCGTTCAAACTCATGATGGGATATGAACCTCGTGGAATACCCACCGCGCACCCCGGATCAAACACGCCGCAAGCAGCTTATCGCCTTAAGGACTTGCAAAACATCCATGAGGAAGCACATGCGGCAATGGAGATGGCCCAGAACGTCCTGGCCAAGAGAGTAAAAAGGAAGGGGGGTTCCTTCCGTAAAGGTCAGCTGGTATGGCTAGACTCCCAGAACTTGAAGCTGCCGTACCCATCCAGGAAACTAGCCCCGAGGCGAGAAGGGCCATTCAAAGTCCTAGACAAGATCGGAATGGTCGTGTACAAGCTAGACCTCCCTAGCACCTGGCGAGTCCACCCCGTTTTCCACGAATGGCTTCTATCTCCCTACTCGGAGACGGAGATTCATGGTCCAAACTACACGAGGCCACCCCCTGACCTTATCGAAGGCAAAGATAACTACAAAGTCGAAGCCATCATTGGACACCGAGAGAACAAGAGAATGCGGCACCGCGAATATCGCATCAGGTGGAAGGGTTACTCAACTGTGGATGACTCATGGGAACCCGAAGCAAACCTGACAGGGACTGCGGATGAAGTGCTAATGGAGTATAAGAAGAGGAAGAACTTGAGCTGAGTCGACAGCAGCTCAACCCAGTCGCTACACCCCTACTCGTACCAACATGTCCTCCACCCTCCCGTTCCTCGATCAGTTCAACGCCCCCTCAACCGAGGGCGGAAAGAGGATTTCGATCTACACCCCTAAGCACACCCATGTCGGCGACAGCACTTTGCTGATGCTACTTCTCAGTAACCCCACCGATGTCTTCAATAAACTCAAAACCCATCACCCTGAGGCAACCAATGCCACTGACCGTGCTGCACTAGAAGCGTATCTCTCCGCCCGCCGCGAATACAACAAGGCTGTCAAGGCAGCCGACGAGGCCATCGACCACCACAAATGGCTCCTACATCAACAGGACGACCGTGTCCTCACCGAGCTCATTCGACTCGACAATCTGAAAGTTGCCCATCGCTTTCAACTGCTCCTACCACGCAGCATCCGGGCGCAACACAACAAATTCATCCCGCGCACCATCCCCAACGCGTACCTACCCCTACCCGCACCCCTACCGACATCTGCCTTCAGGCGCCCCCCGATCCCGTCCCCTTTTCTCCAAGCAATGCCAAGGAGCACTACCATCCCGGCCGACTGGCAACCCAACCCTGGTTGGACCCCGAAGGGAAGCTGTAGGCGATGCGGATCGTCTCGACACTGGGTACAAGACTGTCCAGACACACGATGCACAAGATGCGGAAAGGAAGCCCCTGGACACCTGGAATGGGAGTGCGGAACCAGGCCGATGAAGCGACACGTATCCGCACCACCTGAAGAACCTGCGCGACGCGTGGGGGTGGTCGTCGACAACGTGTTCCTCGAGGGAATCATCAACGAGGCAAAGGAGAGGAAGGAAAGAGAGAGGCAGATGAAGGTGGTACCCATCCCCCCACCGCGCAGTGCTAACCCCGAACCCCAGGCTAGTCCCAGTGTGGGATCCTCATGCCCCCGCCCCGATACACCTGTCGTCTTTCGCAAAGTCGACCCCGACTGGACACCCGACACTACTCCATGGACGTGGGACAGCTCCTGGCCGCATCAGGAGCACCTCTCTGGCGAGGAATGGAAGAATGTGGGAAGGAACGCGCGCAACGAATGGTTCAATGAAGAGGAGGATGATGGCGTAGACTGGGAGTTGTATGGAGATGGTGAGCAGTAAGTGGTCGAATGAGACTTCGACTCTGGTAGGGGGGTAATGAAACATTTATCTTTCCATTCTATTTCTTGTACTACTAGCGCCCATACTGGTGCCCGTCTAAGCGCTCACCCACAGGTTGAACATTATGTAGCTTACATAATGGGGTCCGTGCGCACTTCGTACCCGGTATCATACCACTACATTTCCTTCTTTACTAACACGACCACACAGATACAGTGGTCCGTGCGTAGCCGGTAACTTGTATAACTAGTTGTACCATTAGTTGGTCGAACCCTAAGTTCGACCTGGTTATTCATTCAAGTCTCTGCTCCTCCTCGCTTGGGGTAGTGGTCATTCTCGACTTCCTCGCTCGATCTTCAGGACGGCGTACTGTCCATAAGTCCTCGCTCATCATCTACGAGTCAGGCATTGATATAGGAGTATAGACCGTTGTATCACCGCAAAGGGTTGGTGAGTCGTTCGGGTCTCCTTACGGGCATGATCCCTTGCAGAGGGTGTCCGAGACGAGGGCATTCTACCCTGACATTCCTAGCGAAAAACATGTGAGCATGGGCCATCGCTTCGGCAGGCCTGACGAAGAGAATGAGGGACAATGGGCCGAAATCATGGCCTACCTACAAGACAGCACATTCCCGAGTCACCTCGAGACACAAGCAGCCCATCGTAAGTTCATATCAATGTGCGCTCGCTTCACGCTGTCCGATGGACGGCCCTGGTATGTCAAGAAAGGGAAGATGCCCCGTCTCGTTATTACTGACCAACTCAGGTGCAAAACACTGCTCGAAGAAGCGCACAATCAGTGCAGGTACCGGGGATGCGACGCGACGTACCTAAGGCTCTTGGAACGATATTACTGGCCAAATATGTTCGCAAACGTCTCCGACTTCATCTGCTCCTGCAACGCGTGTCAATTCCGATCGAAATCAAGGCCAATCATGTCCTACAACCCGTCGTGGACTGTCGCCATACTTCGCAAGTTCCACATTGATACAGTATACATGCCCAAAGGACGACGAGGCATGCACTACCTTCTGCAAGCAATGGAGCCTGCCATTGGATGGCCGGAAGCTCGTGCTGCCAAGCGCAATACTTCTAAGGCATGGGCGAAGTTTATCTATACTGATATTATCTGCAGGTTCTCATGCATACCGGTATTTGTTTGTGACAATGGACCCGAATTCAAGGGAGCGGTAAAGTATCTATTCGACAAGTATAACATTATATGTGTTCTTGTAGCCCCATATCACCCGGAAGCCAATGGCGTGGCCGAACCTGCACATCCCACGCTCATCAACTCAATCCTCAAAGCGAGCGGAATGAACGCAAGCGACTGGCCACTATATCTCCACGGCGCTCTGCTCGCAATGCGCACAACAACATCACGAATGACAGGGTATACCCCTTATTACCTTCTGTACGGGCAGAACCCCATCTTTGGCTTCGACGTTGCGGACCGAACGTGGCCGGTGCTCGATTGGTATGCCATCAAGGATACTGCTGACCTCTTGGCTCTTCGCCTGAAGCAGATCACGCAGCGCAAAGTCGACATCGGGAAAGCAATGGATCGGGTCAACGAGAATCGCAAGAAGGCTGTCAAAGCGCATAAAAGGAGGTACACAGGTAAGATACAGAAGGAGATGTGGCCGGTAGGAACGTTCATCCTGGTTCACCAGACGTGGCTAGACAATCAGCACGGACACAAGGGTGCACTGAGATGGGCGGGCCTGTATGTGGTATGGCGGGTTATTGACCGCTTCTACGAATTGACGGAACTCGATGGGACCATCATGAAGGGAGCCTTCGCTGCTGAAAGAATCAAGAAGTTTTTCTACAGGTATGAGAAGCAATCAATGATGGACCTCCCTATGCATCGCGAACGTCTTGTGCCGGCTGCTGCGGATTGTTCCTCATGGGTGGTCGAGGCCGTGAGTGAGCTCAAGAACGAGAACACGTGCATATTCAGATCCCTATGAGAAGATTTGCCCTGTTGGCGCATTGGCAACATCGCTGTCAGGTCAGAAAGTGTTCTGCCGCGGTTCACCGGATACGTCAACAGTATCAGGCTATCACGGTTGTTCGGTTTGAGGGAAGAAAGTGATTGACTAATGACCACTCAAGGACTGATAACAACCAACAACTAAACCACCAATTTCAACACCTTCAAAGGCTTAATGTTGACTTTTATGAGTGTGGGTGACTTGGATGCTTGACTGGTGTGTGCTTGACGTGACTGACTTATACGTGACTTGACTGGCTTATACGTGGATTGACTGGCTTATACGTGGATTGACTGGCTTACACGTGACTTGGCGTGACTTGACTAGCTTGATTCAACAGACTATAGCTCCGCTTGAGCAACAGACTGCTGATAACTGGGCGATACGTGACGAGCGTGACTCAGACCAGGGTTCCGCTTGAACAAAGGTCGAACTATGACAACAAAAGGCAAGCTTCAGATAAGCAAGCACCTTAGAGTCAATCTACAGTTTGTTTTGGGCAAGCTGTATG